CATGGGATCCATGGGATGGGATGGGATGGGATGGGATGGGATGGGATGGGATGGGATGGGATAGATGGGATGGGATGGAATTGATGGGCTGGGATCCATGGGATGGGATGGGATGGAATTGATGGGATGGGATCAATGGGATGGGATGGGATCCATGGGATGGGTTCCATGGGATGGGACCCATGGGATGGGATCCATGGGATGGGATGGGATGGGATGGGATGGGATGGGACTGAAGGGATGGGATCAATGGGATGGGATGGGTTCCATGGGATGGGATNATGGGATCAATGGGATGGGATGGGTTCCATGGGATGGGATCCATGGGATGGGATGGGATGGGACTGAAGGGATGGGATCAATGGGATGGGATGGGATCCATGGGATGGGACCCATGGGATGGGATGGGATGGGATCAATGGGATGGGATCAATGGGATGGGACCCATGGGATGCGACCCATGGGATGGGATGGGATGGGATGGGACCCATGGGATGGATGGGATGGGACTGAAGGGATGGGATCAATGGGATGGGATGGGTTCCATGGGATGGGACCCATGGGATGGGATGGGATGGGACTGAAGGGATGGGATCAATGGGATGGGATGGGTTCCATGGGATGGGACCCATGGGATGGGATGGGATGGGATGGGATGGGATGGGACCCATGGGATGGGATGGGTTCCATGGGATGGGACCCATGGGATGGGATGGGATGGGACTGAAGGGATGGGACATTCCGGAGGCGGGCTGGCCCCGGAGCGCCCACCTGGGGAAGAAGATGCTCTCCACGACGTAGAAGTCCTGCATGAGCACGTCGCGCTCGGGCTTGGTGCTCAGGCTGCCCACGGTGTAGGTGATGCCCAGCTGGATGGCGCCCTTCAGCGCCGACGACGTGGTCTGGGAACGGGAACGGGTGACAGCGGGAACGGGGACACGGGAACAACAGCGGGAATGGGAACGGGGACACGGGAACAACAGCGGGAATGGGAACGGGGACACGGGAACAACAGCGGGAATGGGAACGGGGACACGGGAAAACAGCGGGAATGGGAACGGGGACACGGGAACAACAGCGGGAATGGGAACGGGAACGAGTGACAGCGGGGACACGGGAAAACAGCGGGAATGGGAACGGGTGACAGCGGGAACCGGGACACGGGAAAACAGCGGGAATGGGAACGGGGACACGGGAACAACAGCGGGAATGGGAACGGGGTAATGGGGTGACAGCGGGAATGGGAACGGGAACGGGTGACAGCGGGGACACGGGAAAACAGCGGGAATGGGAACGGGTGACAGCAGGGACACGGGAAAACAGCGGGAATGGGAACGGGGTGACAGCGGGAACGGGGACACGGGAATGGGAACAGGGACAATGGGGACAATGGGGTTACAGCGGGAACGGGGAAACGGGAACAATGGGAAAACAGCGGGAATGGGAACGGGGGTAACGGGGTTACAGCGGGAACAGGGACACGGGAATAACAGCAGGAATGGGAACGGGGACAATGGGGACAATGGGGTTACAGCGGGAACGGGGACACGGGAACAACAGCGGGAATGGGGACACGGGAACAACAGCGGGAATGGGGACACGGGAACAACAGCGGGAATGGGAACGGGGTAATGGGGTGACAGCGGGAACAGGGACACAGGAACAATGGGAAAACAGCGGGAATGGGAACGGGGTAACGGGGTGACAGCGGGAACGGGGACACGGGAACAACGGGAACAACAGCGGGAATGGGAATGGGGTGACAGCGGGAACGGGGACACGGGAACAACAGCAGGAATGGGAACGGGGACAATGGGGTTACAGCGGGAACGGGGACACGGGAACAACAGGAAAACAGCGGGAATGGGAACGGGAANGGAACAACAGGAAAACAGCGGGAATGGGAACGGGAATGGGAACAGGGACAATGGGGACAATGGGGTTACAGCGGGAACGGGGACACGGGAACAACGGGAAAACAGCGGGAATGGGAATGGGGGGAACGGGGTTACAGCAGGAATGGGGAAACGGGAAAAACAGGAAAGAGCAGGAATGGGAATGGGGACAACAGAAACAATGGGAATAACAGCGGGAATGGGAATGGGGCTAACAGGGTTCCAGCGGGAACAGGAAAACGGGAACAACAGGGAAACAGCGGGAATGGGGACAACAGGGACAACGGGGTTACAGCGGGAATGGGGAGTGGGAATGGGCTGGGAATGGGAATGGGAATGGGAATGGGACTGGACAAGGGTTACAGCAGGAATGGGAATGGGAACAATGGGATTGCAGTAGGAATGGGGCTGGGAACGGGAATTACAGCAAGAGTGGGAACTACAGTGGGAATGGGGCTGGGAATGGCCGGGGTGCAGCAGGAACAGGAAAAACAGGATGGGAATGGGAGAGATTTGATGGGAATGGTAACGGGAGCTCAGTGGGAATTCAGTGGGAATGGGAACTCAGTGGGAATGGGAAGGATCCAACAGGAACAGACAGAATTCAGTGGGAACAGGAGGAATTCAATGGCAATTAAAATCGGAAAAAAGCCCCAAAAATTCCCTTCTTCTGTCACTTCCGTCATTTCCATGGAATCTCTTCTCATTCCCACAGCAATCCTGGGCAAAATTCCTTGGGAAAAGCGAATAAAAAGTGGGAATTTACCTTTTTGTAGGTGGTCTCCCCTGTGGAATCCACTCCTCTGTGGCCTTTCCGGATGGTTTGGGATCCTCCCGGCATCTTGGGAAAAGAAAAAATGGGAAGAGAGAGAAAAATGAGAAAATTTTATTTCTTCCAGGATTTTTCCCATCCAAAACCTCCTGGAAAAGTTTGGTTTTATTCCTGGAATCCATGGAAAGCTAGGCTGGATTTCCCCCCATGGTAATTCCAAGGTTCCAGAAGGAATTTTAGGAAAACTGAGAATCCAAATCCGGTGATTCCTGGCCCAGGGATCCAAGGATTCATCCAGGAGTTGTAAAATTGAATTTTTCCAAGGATTTTGGAGGTGGTTCCAGGATAAATGTGGGTTTTGGAGCAGGAATTCCCTTGGGAAGGGTAAATCCCCAAAATTCCCATGGGAGAAGCTGCCAGGGTCAGGCAGGCTTGCATAAAAGAGCAGGAAAAGCTGGAATTTGGGAATTTTCCAGGCTGGAACTCACCTCAGGAGTCAGGGATTTCTTGAAGGTGTTGGACCCTGCCAAAAGAAAGGGAAAATCCACGCTCAGAGAGGATCGATCCCAGGAAAGCAGGGGAAAATCCCAGCAAAACCCCAGGAAAAATCCCACAAAAACTGGGAAAAACCCTACAAAACACAAAAACTGAATTATCCCGCCTGCATAAGCTGCTCTCCTGGGGTTCCTGACTGCAAATTCCCAAAAAACCCCACGGATGCAGAGCCAGAAAATCAGGGATCAGGCCACAGATCCTTCCAGGGAAAACCGAGGAGCAGGGAACTCCTTCCCAGATGGAATCTCCATGGACCTGGGCCCAACACTTAAGGTGGAAAAGGAGATTTGGAGCTGGAAAAAGTGGGATAAAGGGCTGGATTCCCCCAGGAACCCCGCCAAGTTCAGGAAAAGGCAGGAAAAGGAAAAACGCCGGCTCTAAAAGCCAAAAGTTTGCTTTTTTATCCCAGAAAAAAGGCTCCGAGCCGGCGAATTCCTGATTTTTCTTTTCCAGCCCTTTCCCTGGCTGCTTTTCCCGCTGAGCCAGACAAACCCCGCGGGTCTGCTGCCCATTCCCGGCTCTTCCCGGGATTTTTCTGGGAATTCGGGATCCCCGCGAGCCCTGCCCACCCCCGTGAGTCACCGGACGGGAACGGGAATCGGATTTCCCTGGCACCAACAAACTTCTCCCTCCCCGCCCCAGTCCCACTCTGCTTTTCC